TAAAATTTAATCTCTCTAGGGAGGATACTGTAGTGCAGGAAACTATTGCTAATAATTCGGAGGATGTTGTTACTGTTTTGTCTTCTAATCGTTAAAGATCTAATTAGACTTTCTTATGCGAATATATGATTCAACAACAGAGGCGTGCGCTCTAACTCATTAAAACTTAACGTCATCTTTAACCGATTTTTTTCATAATATTAAAATATTTGTTTTATTAAAATAAAAATTCAAATAATTAAATAAAAAAAAGGTGATTAAGACAGCGAGTTCCGTCTAGCTTTTATTTTATAAGTAGAGAAAGGCCAAACTACTTAGGACAAAATTTTCTCTAGATTTATATTCTCTAGATTTGAAAGATAGTGCTATTATTTAAATAATATAATTATTTATATAAAATTAAATTAAGCATGGCTTACATTTATAATCATAGAAGAGAGAGGGGTGGAACAAGAAATTTCTCTTAGAAGCGGTTTGGTTGGTTAAAGAAAGAATGGTAAATGAATAATTTAGTGTTATTTAGATGAGTGCAAAGTAAATGCAGGTGAATATATATATTTTTTAATAAAATGAATTTAGTATAAAGTATAAAGATAATGGCGACGATGGTAGTGGTGGCGGTGTTGGGCGATAGAAGGTGGCAGCTACAGGAGATTAGGACCATGGTGGCCGATGGCTGATGGCGAACGTGGTGGCAGGAAGAAGGTCGCGGAGGCCAAAGGGATGTGGTGGTGGTGGTCAGCTGGTTGCAGCAACTGATGGTTGCCAGCCATATGACTGTGGTTAAACGAGCATGCTTGCGAAGTAAATTGTTCTCGCATATGAGTTTTGTTTACCTCAAAAATAAACCAAAATGATTTTCACTACATTTACTTTACTTTTCATTCTATTTTTTTTTCATACCAAATATCAATATTTTCAAAACTCATGCATTTTACATACTTCACACCATTCTACTTCCAAACACAGAGCTCAAATAATACCATTTATTTAAAAATCTCATTTTAGGTCGTTTTTTAACTAAGGGTCTAAATGATCCAAAGGGCAGACATATTTGATCTTTTTTTTTTAATCTAATACAAAATCACTATCAAAAAGTTAATGTTTTCGCAACAGCTTATAGCAGCGGTTTTAAAACCGCCGCTATAGATTGATATAGCAGTTTAATGCAGCGGTTTTAAAATCAGTTTATTTGGATAGAATTTGTGACGGTTATAACCACTGCAAATCTGGACATTTGTGACGGTTAAAACCGCAGTTAAATCAAGTGCTTCATCAGATTAACCCCACCAGTCCTTAAACTGATGCGGAATGTCGTTGTAGCGCATTGCATTTACAGCGGGGGTGCAGCGATTTTAAAACCACTACAAAAAAAAAAGTTGTGGCGGTTATAATCGCTAGGACAGGCCAAAATTGTGCTGCGATAGGCCTATTTTTTAATAGTGAATGTGTACTTTTATATAATCTAAGATTATTTTGATCCTTCAAAAATTATTAACTGATACTTTTATATAATGGAAAACTATTTTGATCCTTCAAAAAAAGTCTTGGTTTTGATTCGATTCTTTTTTTGTTATAAATATATATAAGTAGATAATCATTCAATTAAAATAAATGATTAAATGACATTAGTTTAGTTTGAGTCGGTTATTTTTGCTTAAAAATAAGCTCAACTAATCAATCTATTTGGAAGCCACTTATTGCTGATTCTAGTCAAATACAGCTCATATTATAACAGAAATTAAAATAGATATGGCAACACCCTTTGAATTTTCTTTGGTTGGGCGTTTTCCGGGTAGACAACCTTCGGTCAATGCTATTCGGAAATTTTGCTTCAATTTAAAGTTGTTAGGGGATTTTTCGGTCACTGTGCTTAATCATCGGAATGTTTTGATTAAACTGGTGAATGATTTTGATTATTGTCAGATTTTTTCACATAGATCTTATTTTGTTCAAAATTGCTATATGAAAGTAGTGAAATGGTCTCCCAATTTGGATGTTGAGGTCTCCTATTGTGTCTATCTGGGTTTCTTTCCCCTTCCTTAGGCCTCATCTATTTTCTCCTAGGATTCTTTTCGGATTAGGTTCACTGTTTGGTCGCCCACTCAAATCGGATATGGCTACTGCGTCCGGTTCCCGTCCGTCCATGGCTTGTATTGTTGTTGAAATGGATGTTACCAAGAAACATGCTGATAAGATTTGGGTTGTTTCTGTGGAATCGGGCTATGTTCAGACTGTAAATTTTGACGATACTCCTCATTTTTGCATGCACTGTAATTCCTTAGGTCATTTTAAATATTTATGCCCTATTTTACATCCTTCTCTAAAAGTTTCTAAACCTATGGATGTACAGTGCAGGAAGCCGGAGTTGATTGAGCCTGTTGATGTGAACTTTAATCTCTCTAGGGAGGATACTG